GGGCCAACTACATTTTGGATATTAACCCAGATCAACTATGGACAATGTTCCCAGAGGAAAAAAATTATCAGACAAAACCCACCCCCAAAAAACCAGTTTGGGCTTTGTTTTTATGCCAGCTCTCCCAGTCTAGATATCTAATGGAGTCAGAAAAAAAGCTACTGGCAGGAATACCTCTGTGTAAGGCTCTCGAAATGTGGTAACCAAACATTATTATAAATTTATGTCATCTTGACACCAAAGCCAGCTCTACAGCTGTTTTATGATACTGTGAAGGTTAAACTACTACAGAACAAGTACTCCTGCATGTGGCTACTATAAAAGTGTCACTGAATTATTTCTAATTTTAGTGCCCGTTGTTCTAAAAATTGCTTCCTGCTGCACTCCAAGAAGCAAGAAAAAAGGTGATTCACATAAACCTAGGCAGCTGAGGAACTAGATGGGCATAACTGATGGAGCAGAGCAGCTACAGGGCTCATACTGGACTAAGGCTGAGGAGGGACTCTCAGGGGGTTTAAGCTGCCACGGCCCCCAGTGTGCAAATCTCGTAACAGATTTAGTGATGCTGCCCCACTTTCTGGCAAACTAAGAGAAACAGGTACTTCTAGGGCAGAATGAGACTCCCTTAGTTCAGCCACCCAGCTTAAGATGGTGGGTTGAATCACACCTGAGAACAGCCATTTGTCTGCACCAACCATGTAATTCGTTAGGGCAACGAAAAATTTTATTTACTTTCTTTTTCAGATATTATTCAAGTGTCCAATGATAGATAAATTGGAAGAACACCACTCCAGCTACAAATATATCTACACCTCCACCTCATGGGACTCAAGTATGTCACCAAAAAAAGAGGGGAAGAAAACAATTTCAAACAGTAGATATTATACCCTGCCAATATGTTTGGCAGAAATTAGTGCTCTCAAAAGCCATTTCCTGTCCCTTCTTTGGTTCCTTGGTATTCCCAAATACCATAAAATAATAATAAAAAAACCCAAAAACAAACAAACAAAAAAAAAAACCCACAAAAAAAAAAAAAACCAACCAAAAACCATTGTCTGGGAGCTGGATCTATCTAAGACATAAAAGAGATGATACAAACCCATGTAAGGTAAAGGGAGATGTAAATCACTGGTCTCTGTCAGTGAGATGATCACAACATCACAGAATTGTTTAGGATGGAAAAGACTTTGAGGCCATTAAGTCAACTGCTAACCCAGCACCACCACTCTCAACCTGGACTCCCACAAACACTGCAGCAACTGAAAAATTTTATACTCAGAAATTTCTGGATACCATGAATAGCCTTTAAATGAGCAACATGTGAATTCTAAATCACAGGTTGTCAGTTTTTTAGTTAAAGAACCAAAACCAAACCAGTTAGCAAAGAATTCATGCCTTCATTGTTACCAAGCACAGACTTTGTCACCCCATTTATCTTATGGGGATGCTATTAGTGTTGATATGGGCAATTAACTGTATTTGGAAAATACATTTTTCAAAAATTATCTACATTTTCCATCATCAGTTTTGAGTAGCAAATTAGTCACAGGGAGAAATAATTTCAAGACCTGCACCTGAATTGGGGTAAGCTGTTACAGCTAAACAGAAACAGAAGATCATACACCAATTTATACAGGCTAAAAGAATGGTCATTAATTCATGCCTAGAGGATTGGAAGCTTCCAGCAGTGAGTGAGTCTTTTGTGTCCCTCAGATAATAAAGCAAATGGTAAGATCAGGCCTAAGAATTTTTGATACTTAAAAGTAGTAGATGTGTGGTCTCTCTGCATGAAAATTACTGTGCAAACAACACTGCAAGTACAATCCCAGAAGTATAAACTCCCCCATACCGTGAATGCTTACTACTGATATCTATACATACTGTTTATTTGGTATTAGTTTTTCATAAAACTTTTACTATTATTTTTATTTTACTGTTATTCTTAAAGGGTTCTAGAAATGCAACTACCTTCTTCTACCTACTACAACTCTTCTTGTTCAAGAATGTAAGTATGATGCCTAAGCATGGTGCCCAGGATGCCCTGATTACTGCATTACTCAACAGCTAGCAGCACCAGTATCTACACTGCTTCTGTGCACAAGGGCATTATTCAGTAGATTACCAAGGAAGGTGTGTTCTGGGTTGCTCTTTCTTAATTCAAATGTGCATTTGATTTGAATGTGTGCTTCACTCGGTGTTGCTACCTGACTCTCTGACCAATCAGCATCCCACCCAATTATTTGTGTGTGCACTGAAACTCCTGGATGCTGCCAAAGCATTAAGCAGCCTACAGAAAAGGGTGGGGAGGGAGGAATGTGCTTCTACTTCCTCTTCTTGGGTAGAGCAGACAGTAAAAAAGACATCCTTAGTCCAGAGCTTAGTCCAAAACCAGAAGGTTTAATCCACCTATCCTTCCAGTCTGGTCGTAATACCTTTGCTAGTCATTTTAAAAGGGAGTAAAAAAATTAAATGTTATTATCCAAAGGCCAAGATTTCAGTGATAAGTAACTGAAATATTGTCTGGGACTTTAATAGTAAGAGCTAAGAGCATGCTCTGTAACTGCGGGGCAACATTTTACTAAGTTTGGCAGAAAAGTCTCCTCCCTTCATCCCCTCAGGCTTCTGCTTAGCTTAGACAATATCACAAGGAAGGGCTGTTTGCCCAGAGGTTTTCATTGCGAATTTGTTGGGGATTTTTGTTTGTTTGTTTGTTCATCCACATGGCTTACTGCCAGCTTATGAAAACTACAAGCCTGTCATCAGGAGTTCACCCAGTCTGAGAGAGGGAAAACAATGGTCAGAAGTCAACCTGATAACCATACCTTAAAAATGTCACAGAATAAAACATGCGTAAAGGAGACATTTCAGTAATGTTCTGACACTCCCCAGTTTCAGCAATGGACTACAATGAAACATCAGTTTGTGTAAGCATTCAGGAGAGGTTTGTCTTGACATGGACAGCCCAGTACAAGACATTAAGATCTTTGTGCAAGCAAAACCTCCCCCACAGGTTTGCATGATTAACAATATCCTTAAAAAAACAAAACTCTTTCCTTTAATCAAACAGGTTTCTTCCAAACTTTTCCAGGGCACACTGCACTCAGACACAGGGAGAAAAAAAATCTTGAATCATGGTTGAGCTGTGCTAAGAGCAATGAGGATTCCCTTGAAATAGAAAATTCTACTTTGTATGGCTAGTACTCCTGCTGAAGCCAGTGGACAACTTGGACAGAGCCAGTTGAGAGGATCAGACTTATCAACTGCAGATAGGCAGGAGGGAAAAAACACTGGGTCAAATCCCAGCTAGGGTAAATCAGTGTAACGCCACGGAAGTTGAGAGCTGTGCCGATTCAAGCCAGCTGCGGATCTAACTCACAGTGTGTTTTGCAAGTCCATTTTCAACTCTTCAGGGCTCTGCTCTGTTTAAACATCCACAACACCCACTGAAATTAATGAGAACTGTGTGTGCAGAACCCTAGTATTACTTTTTAACTATTTGGGAGGTGCTCAGACACTGTGATAATGAGCACCATATATTAGAACCCAGACAGAATGGTATTGAATCATCAGACCCTTAAGTGGAACAGGTCATTAATCTTTTCCTTGGGAGAGCATTTCAATTTTTGCCTTGGCAAATGAGGATTCATCATTAATAGATGTGGGGGTTCTATGTTTGCCAAGTCCCAGACAAAGTGTGTTTTTCCACTTGCCTTGGGCTTGTGTAAGCTTGCCTAAGGAGGCCAGCCTTGCAGTTTGAGAAACACTGCTAGCAGCCACCATACCCTCATTCCCAGCTAAATTAAACCCTATTATGCTGTAATTAACCTTGCCTAACTTGTTCTGAGTTACAGCAGCAGGTAAAAAATCACGCTTTTACTAGGCTGTACCCAAGAAGCATTTTTATGTATCAGACTTGCCTACTCTTCAAGTATTTCCAGCTACTCTTGGAAGCTCTTCTCCTGAAGATCACAGCTCAACTGCAGACTTCAGAACTCTTCTTGACTTCAGTGAGGGCAGAATCCCCTGCAAATTTACTTGTGCACCTCCTGTTCATGCCAGATGGCACGTTTTTGGAGGACACGGGAATTCCACAGAAGCGATGGCGAGAACACACGTATATAAACTGTTAGGTTTAAAGGTTTAAAACATACACATAGGCAGGTCACCAAGTTTTCTTGGTCAAATTTAAAGCACTAAAATTCCATTTTATGAATTAGTCTACTGCCCTTTTTATTTAAATGCAAATTAAGAAAAATAAAAAGAAACCTATTACATTTCTAGTTTCAACTGATATTTGGGATATGGGTGAGAAGAATGAGCACAAGCTAAGAAGAACCTCTCATTTACAAAGCTACACTTCTATTAGAAAAGTAAATTATTGGAAGAATTGCAGTTTTCAGACTTTTTTTCCCTCCTCTTTTAAAAAAATCAAAATTCTTCAGCTGCATTTTCAAAGATTCAGGATTTTCTCTAAGGTTGATTTGATTAAGTCCATAGACCTTCAAACCAGGCCATCATTACCACAGTTTTAAAAGCAGACATCCTCTGAAGTAATTCAACCAAGTTAGAACAGAAAAGTCCAGATACCCTTTAGCTGCTTGCAGTAAGTGTACATATGAAAAATAAAGTATAAAATAGCACAAGAGAAAGGCTACACTGCCCTAAGTAACAGTGCACTCAAAGACAAAGAAGTGCTATCACTGAATACATCTTGCATATTATTACCAGTGGAAAGGTGGGAAGCCTCTGGAGAAGGCAGCCTAGAGAGCCAATCTGATTTTTTTTTTTTTTAAATCTGTGCATCTGAGTGTACGGTGCAGATAAAGGAGAGAACAGATGGTTATGCAGTAAGTGTATCAGCCTGCCTCTGGCACAGCCAGATGACAGCAGCTGCAGCAGCAGTATTTATCCTACCTGCTCCTTTTAAGTTATTAAACTCCTCAGTTCCCACAGGACACGCAATAACTTTTTTTTTTTTTAAGCACTTGCCCTGTCTTTGCTCATTCCGCCATCCCCGGAGCGGGGTGCAGGGTCCGGCCCTCCCTCGCCTCGCCGCCCGTCCCGGGGGCTGCGGGGCCGGGCTGGGCCGGGCCGGGCCGGGCCGTTCCCGCCGGCTCCGGCTCTGGCTCCGGCTCTGGCCCCGGCTCTGGTCCCGGCTCTGGCCCCGGCTCTGGCCCCGGCTCCGGCTCCTCCTCCCGGGGCCGGCCCGGCGGCTCCCCCGCTCCGGCTCGCTCCGCCGCGGGCGCTGCAGGTCTCCGCCGCTGCCGGCCGATGCCCGGGCCTCGCTGGTCAAGTGGTCCTAAACATTTCACAATTATGCTAGAGAACTGTTGAACTGTTAAGAACCACTGCACCAAGGAGGCTGAGGGTCCGCGGGGAGCGCAGCGGGGCGGGGGCGCGCTCCCCGCCCGCTCCTGCCCCGCGCTTGGCTCTTCCTTTCGCCGCGGCGGACCTGGGGACGAGACAGAACACACGGGACTGGCGGGCGGGCGGCGACAGCGCCCGGGACAGCGCCCGGCCCGGCCCGGCCCGGCCCGCACTCCTCGCTCAGCGCCGCCACTTACTGAGGGCCACCGTCCCGCGAGCATCCCCGGCCTCGCACCGGGGCTGGGAGAGCTGGACGGCAACATGCTCTCTTTACAAAGTGGAAACAAGAAAAAAAACAAACGAAACAAAACCAGCCGTTCTCCTGAGGGGCCGCAGCTCGGCAGCAGCCCGGGCCGGGCGCCCGCGGCCGCTCCCCGCCGCCCATGTGCCGCGGCCGCCCCTCTGCCGCGCCGGGCCGTGCGGGGCCCTTTTATACCCGCGCGGTACCTCGCGGTGATGAGCCGTCCCCTGCGCGGCAGCCAGGAATGCTGCCCTCGCCCCTCACACGACCAGTTTTTCCAGGCTGCCTTCGCACTGACGGGGCGGTTTTGTTTCCAGCCATCATCTGGGGCGGCCGAACGTCAGCAGGTAGAGAAGGACAAACCTGTTCCGAGGCGGCGCGTTTCCTCCCTCCCTCTCTCCTCCCGCCGCCCTCCTGCCCTCCGCCCTGCCACCGGGGGAAACTGCTCGACAGGTTTCGCCGAAGCTGGAGGTGGCTCCGGGGGTGAGTAAGAGACTCCACCCTGCGCCCTCCCGACAGGCGCTGCCGCTGACGGGCCGCCTGCCCTCGCACCCTTGCCGGCCCCCCTCGCCTGGCTGGCAGCCCTGAAAAACAAAACAACAAAACAAAACAAAAAAGCCTTAAACCGGCACGTCACGTTCTCCGGGGGGATTTCACCGCCGCAGTGTGAACGCCCGGCCTGGCCCGGGATCCGTGCTGGTGGCGTCGCGCCTGGCGAGCGTGGCCGCTCCCCGCAGGCCTGAGGGCTGCCCTCCTGCCGGCCCTCCGCGGCATTCTGAGAGGGTTTCTCCTCTTTCCCCGCCGGCCGATATTCTCTGAGATGGGAAGGAAATCTATAAAAGCCCTCTGACATCCCGGGGGTGAGCTGGCAGCGTTGCCATGTGCTGCCCAGCCCTCCTGAGGGGTAGCACAGGTACCCATTTCTAATCTGGAATGTTCATTGTCGGATTGACTGTTTTCAGTGTAGTTTCAGGGAGTTTTTTGTAAATGACACGCGAAGCCACCTGCTGTGTGTGAGCGACTGGGTTTGCCCTGTCTTCCCCCAATATCCCCCCAGCTCTGCTGCTTTTTCTTCAGGTGCCTTGGGGAGTCACCATTTGGGAACACCAGACCTGTCTGGAGGTCACTTTCTGCTCCTGAATGTTCCCGACCTTGGTTTCAGAAAGAACGGACTAAGAAGCCAGAACTGAAAAACATGAAAAAGGTTCTGATGTTCAGAGGTGTTGGACAGCCAACAGGGAGGGAGGACACCCTGAACTTTGACAGGCTAGCAATGAAATCCAATTCACTATGCTTTCCGAGCCATTGTTGAGGTGAGCTGCAAGGTCCTCACGCCCTGTAACCTTAGGGTGGGGATTATGGTAACCCCACAGCTGGCTTCCCCATGGTGGCAGTGGGGATGCTGGTTGCTGGTGGTGCCAGGCTGCCTGCACTGCTTGACCACATGCTGCTCTCTCCAGCCAGCCCAGGAGACACCATTTCAAAAAGATGTGGATGGTAAACCTTGCTCTGCCAGTGACTCAGCCTCCGGCCTCAGCCAAGTCGCTTTACCACACCTTGAGAGGGAGATAATGCTTACCTACCTCATCTTATGAGGCTTCGCTAATGTTTATATAGTGCTTTGAATGTTTAAAGAACTGAGTGCTGTTTATGCATTTTGGTGCTCCAGATCCTATGATCTTTGGTCCTTTAAAAATACCTAGGAGACTCAAGCGGTCCCAGAGGAAATGCCCTTGCAGGAGGCATCCCAGAGCAGCAGAGCAGGGAGAAGGCCTTGTGGCTGTGCACAGCTTGTGTGAACGTGGTGCTGCACCAGAAACTGGAGTGCTGGAACCAGAACAGGTTGCTCTGGGAGCCTATGCAAACCTCATGCTGAGGAAGCTCCCTGCATCTAGGCTGGAGGCATTTCAGTCTGCTTTGGTAAAGCCAGCTCCTGCTCTTCTGCTCTGCCCTCTCACGCTCAAATCCAGAGCTTAATTTTGTGCCTTCTTCCAGATAGTCCAAGCCATAGAGGGTTTCTGGACCTTCTCTTTCTCCCAAAAGGATATTTGCTTGCCTTGGATAGAGGAGAGTGCACTGTTTGTGAGTTCACTCGAAGGACACCTCTGTCCTTGGCATCCATGGAAATCTGTGGAAGCAAGACTGCTATTTACACCCTGTAAGAAGAGGCATTTGTGCTGTGACACAGTGTTCTAGGTCGTCCACTCCTGCCAGTGATGTGTACAGCATGTGCAGCATGACTGCATGGGCTGTATTTTATATATAATCCTCCAGAGACTACACTGGCAACTCTCACCTCCCTCTGACAAACACAAACTCACACCCACACCCACAGCTCCACAATACCACGCAGCTAAATAATAACCTGACTGTCCATACTGACTTGGTTCAAGAGTCCTTTCCAGCCAAACCAGTCAGGACCTGCTCCTGCACAGTGAGATATAAAATCCCCAGAGATCTCATGGCTCTTCTGGTCCTGGGTCAGACACACATGGCAGATGGCCCCTTAGGGACTCTGAGCAATAAGGGGGGACCTGTCTGAGGCAAACAGGGTTCTCTGAGGTACCAGAACCTGTATGGTCTTTAGGCAGGATGAACCATCTCCTGCTTTCGACTTCTTTTTAATGAGTGTCAGTGGTTTTACAGTGAATGGGTAAACATACCTTTCATTTAATTATATAAGCATTTAGTAGGTTCTATTTCTCACCCATATACCCTCAATTATGGAAGTAAGAAAGTTAACATCCTGCCTCCTCCCTTCTCTAGGTAAAGTCTCAGAGAACAGGCTGAAGGCTTTGAAAGGTAGAAGAGTAGAGGTGCCCAAAAGTGGAAATGGACAGGCAGCACTAGCCAAGGGATGAGCAATGTGTTCTTCCTCTGTGAAAGTATGAAAGGTGATTGAAGCATTAAAATAATAGAATCGGTTCTGAAATTAGATAGGGGGGAAATGAGGAGTATTAAAAGGAATAGTAATTAGTCCATTGTTTCTACTGATGGTTAAACTAAGTATTGTTTATATCAGTGGGACCTGAATGAAAAGGACTGTGGTAACCCCTAGCATGGCCTCCCACACTGGCTGCTGAGAGCTCTCTGTCTGCACCAACACTCCTGAAACCTGGAGGAGCAGCACACTGTAACAGGGAACATGATGGCTTGAGCCCCTTGGACAGCAGGCAGAGTTTTCTTGGATGGGGAAGGCAAATGCGAGTCACCTCACAGTGTCAGAGAAAGAGGGCAGCACAAAAGGAGACATAACGCCAGGGGTGGTTGCAGGAGACAAAGAGCTGGTCTGGGAGGAAGTGAAGATGAAGGGTAAGCTTGTGGGAGGACATAAAAGGCTGTGCTGTTTGCATGGCAGAATATGGAAGATCATGAATGCTTGGTAATGAGAGGATTATATTTCAGGGAGGTTCTGCTTTGAAAAAATGAATTTATGAAAAATGAAGGTGCTATCATTATTGCCAGTCAATATCCCCATGCTTCTTTGGCAAAAGCTCCCAGTCCTTTCCTGTTAGTTCCTTATTCCACAGGTAACATTATGGAAGGGCATAGGACAACCCAGAGTACTATTCCTTGTATGACATGTTTTATCTGACAATTCTGGACTTAAATCCAGCACTAAAACTAAGCATGGACATGGAGCTTACATGTCTCTGCTTATTGTTTCTACGTTCATTATCTCCCCACCAATTTCCTACTCTTACTCATTAATGCTCACCTAAAATTAGGCTGGAAGTTTCTTAAAGAAAGACCTAGAATCTGACATGTCCTGGAAAGTACTTTTAATATTTTTGGGTCTGGTAAACAGAAGAAAAAAAAAATCTGCAAGTGGATTTTCTTCCACCCTGGAAAATCAGCATTCCATATGTTCATAGCAAACAGTGATGGAGCAACTTCATGTTTACTTTAGTTGGTTTAAACTCATTTGTCAATACAGCAGCCCACTATGTGTCACATGTGAGCATAATAATAGCTTGATACTAACTTGATTTGCAGTAATAAACACCCTGAGAGATGGCCTAATGCTTCCCCATGTAAATAGGAAGCCTTTTGAGATTACTGCCTAAATAACATCAAGTGATTCATAGATAAATGAATGAGGTGGGATATTTTTCCAACCAAGAACTTTTAGAAAGATTGTGGGTTTGCCATTCAGTGGGTAGATTAATAAAGAAGTGCTAGAAATTAAAATATGGCTAGCAGGTTCTTACAAGGCCAAGAATTCACATTTTATTGGAAATGCCACTATTGTGTGCACAAAATTTTTATTAAATCCAAAGTTAGCAATTTAGCAGGAAAGAGATTTGTATCTCAAATGCTTTATCTAAGCATGCATTTCAATGTCCCTGAGCACTACAGAGGTTGCATACCAATTTAATGTGTAATATTGTTTTTCACTATTTTCCTTGTTCTGACTTAACATATTGTTCATTCCAGAAGCTAACCATGTAAATTACATTATACAAATAAATGCAGTTTTTCCCTTTTTTGGGAGAATTTTTCAAGTAAAGAGGCACAATAGCAAGCAGCAGATTACAAGTTTTCTGGTTTCTATTTCAAATTTTCAGTTTCATTGTTAAACATGTCAGTTCTTCTAATAACAAGTCTAAAATAAGGAGACCTGAAGGCTTTCCACACTTCCAGGCTGGTTCTGTGGGTACAATTTCCTGTGCTTCATCAGCTGCAAAAAGAAAAATGTGTGAAGAGCAATGGTTGTGCTGCAGAGATGGTGTGTGAGCTGTCAAGCAGATGTGTCCTGGGAGATCCATCCATCCCTGCACTGAGATCCTGATAGAAAGGAGAAGCTTCAACTCTGGCCCTAAAAAACATCAGGAAAAGCACATTGCAAACAACAAGGAGGTACTTCTGCAGCTGTAAAGTATAATCTTCTGATGTGGATTATACTTTGTCACGACTTTCCACTGTCAGTTCAGGAGTCCCAGCAGTGTGTAGAGATGACAGCTGGAGATCACATAACCATAGAATAGTCAGGGTTGGAAGGGACATCTGGAGATCATCCAGTGCAACCCCCGTGCCAAGGCAAGGTCACCTGGAGCAGGTGACAGAGGAACAATCCAGGTGGGTTTTGAATGTCTCCAGACAGGGAGACCTCGCTGGGCAGCTGTTCTGGTGCTCTGCCACCTTCAACATGAAGAAGTTCTTCCCCACGTTGAGGTGAAACTTTTTGTGTTTTAGTTAAGGCCTTTGCTCCTGTTGCTGGGTACCACGAAAGAGAGTCTGGCACCATCCTCTGGCACCCAGCTTTGAGACATTGGTATGAATTAATGAGATCTCCTCTGAGTTTTCTCTAAATAAACAGACCCAGCTTCCTCAGTCGACTCATAAAAGAGGTGCTCCAGTCTTCTGATGGGGCCTCTGCTGGCCCCTCTGCAGTAGCTCCTTGTCTGTCTTGTTCTGTGGAGTCCAGAACTGGACACAAAGATGTGTGCATGAGAGATTAATCCACTGAGTCCTCTTTTGCAATCAGCTCTCCCTGTAGTATTTCAAACTTCAGGAAAGCGTGGTCTCATGGTTACTTTTTATCTCCTCACAATCAATTCTCCTTTCTCTATCTCTTTTTTTTCTTACTTTAAATTTGAAATAAAGATCCAAATTAAATGGCCAGTGTACAGAATTCTGACATGACCAGTTTTGAATGCCACACTTCCCAGATGCCTGACTCTAAAAACCTTAAGAGCTGACTTTCATTAAATGCCAGCACCTTTTGCTCTACCATGAAGTTTCAGGCTCAAACCTGGAAGTTAACACTTGAAACCACTCACTTTTTCTGAACATTCCAGCCAAGCAATTCCTATTTAAGATTAGCTGCCATGCATTAAGTCTGCTTCAATA